TCAGTCCGCGAGCGTTTATCCGTTAGTTTGTTTGTTTTTATTTCGGCTGCAAAATGTAAATAAATTATGTGTTAGCTGATTTCTTTACTGACAACACCGTTCACATATGAACACCAACCAAGACAGAAACATGTCTACGTTTCTGGAGAAGATCCTCTGGCGAGCTGGAGCGTTTTGGCCTTGTCATCTAATTCAGTGGTGAGTGGCCATTTTAATATATCCTCCACACTACTTTATAGAAACGTCAAGTGTCAATGATGTGGCACACGTATGATTAGCTAATGATTTAGCATGTAACAGTCTGCCAGTACAAAAAACGAACATTATTTCCTCCTTGGTGTAGTTTTTAACAATAACTGAACTTGTGAAGACAGACCTGTTTAGGTCAGAGGCAGTTCTGATTTACCTGAACATTTGTGACGGCTGATATCAAGATGCGAGAATCTTATTTTAACCAATTATCAAGCAGATGTAAACTCTGAAAAAGGGTTTTACTTTTGAAAAACTTCCAAAACAAATCTGTCGATCAGCTGAAATCAGTAAATATAGGCTAGTTTGTATTCAGCTCTACAAAGTAAACATGGTGAGAATCTTGAACTTCAGACGAAAGACACTTTATTAATAAAAGCAGCAAATACTCAAGAAAAAGACTCTTCCATATCTCTTTTACCACTACTAATAACTGTGTTTTAGGGCTGCATGATTATTTGAAAAAAGATTGCGATCTCGATTTGAACCCCTAGACCAGGGGTGTCAAACTCAATTCCTGGAGGGCTGAAGCCCTGCACAGTTTAGTTCCAACCCTGCTCCAACACACTTACCTGTAGGTTTCAAACAAGCCTAAAGGACTCAATTAGTTTGATCAGGTGTGTTTAATTAGGGTTGAAACTAAACTGTGCAGAGCTGCGGCCCTTTTGGAACCGAGTTTGACACCTGTGCCCTAGACCAGTGGTTCTCAAACTGTGGTACGTGTACCACTAGTGGTACGCAGGCTTCCTTCTAGTGGTACGCGGAGAAATGAAATATGTCATGTACATGCTAAACACATTTTAAAATTTATTAAAAATGATGTATATAATATGCCATATATGACATATAGCCTATATTTCTGAGGCAATCTGCCACTTTTTTTTAACTGTGCAGAGTTGTAGCTGCTTTACTGGGCCTACTACGCTACTGTATTTCAATACTGCTCATTTTGGTGGTACTTGGATAGACAATTCTTTTCTGAGGTGGTACTTGATGAAAAAAGTTTGAGAACCACTGGTCTAGACGGTCTTATTCCAGCATTTCTAAGCTTCAGCCAATTGTATTTCCAAGTTTTGGAGAGAAGCAAAGGCGGCCGCACAAGTCTTCAAATTGTTTTCCAAACGTTGCTCAGCAACGTGGACACCTCCAAATGGTGTTGAAAGAGTCACATACTGTATTTATAAGGTATAATTCACTCAAAAATGTCATTTCTTTCTTCATGTAATGATGTGTTAGCAGCCACAAAATCACTCGTGATGTGAGCTGATGGTAAGCTTTTTACCACAGATAGGGCAGACGCACGCTTGTGAATGAAGTCTACTTAATAGCCCATTTCCACTGAGTGGTACGGTTCAGTTCACTTTTGTCCGTTTCCACTGTCAAAGGGTACCTAAAAGCGAACTGTACCATACCACTTTTTGGTCACCAGCAAAGGGTACCAACAGGCCCAAAGAGTACCATAAGACATTACATGCTCTGCTAAAGAGATTACACACACAGATGAGTAAGGGCTAGATTTCAGGTTGTTTTTGAACCCAAATAAAAATAGTTTTTCTGTAATTGATAACATATCGGGGACTGGATGTGTTTATATATGTTCAATTATTTATTTAATATAATTGGAGAAGTAACAGTAGGCTATTTCACACTGTCAGTTATATGCAGTTATAATCAAATCATGTTGATAGAAAGGATAGTAATAAACATTTATACATTGTAAGCTGAAAATATATGATATACTTTTCCTTCTGTGCTAATGAAGGACTACTGAGACATTCCAAGCATGGGATGGGTCCTCCAGGTGAGGCAGAGTTCCTCACAGCTCCGATACACATCTCTGCCATTTACAGTAACCATGTGCTCTTCACCATACACAATTCATCTGCTCGTGTTCTTCCTTATATAACTTTGTCATGTTTGGTGTCATTTGACAGTTTATGTCTTCAGTGTTGTAGAGATGAAATCAACAGAGACATCGATTAATTGTATTTCAATCTACAATATATTTGCTGAGTCATGGCCTGAGGAGAGTATGTTAATGTTCTTCTCCCCCACTTTATCTCCTCAACTTTGCTCTCTGGTTTTGGGGGTTGGTTTTCACTCATGTTTGACAATGCTTTGCTCAGGGTATAATAGGGAAAGGTAACTGTTGATCTGGGAGAATGGCTTTTACTCTGCATCTCCCGCACACCGGTGCGTAGCCTCATATGCTAACAAAGGCAGTTTCACTAGCTGCGTCCCAAATCGCATACTTATGCACTATTCTACGCCATTTTGTAGTATAAATAGTGTAAGTAGTGCGTTCACACTGAAAACTCTAAAAATAATAAGTGCACTTTAATTACCCGGATGATGCACTCATTCAGCCACTAAAATGAAGTGTGGAATGATGGACACTTCACACACTCAACGACCGCAGGTTTGCTTACGTAGCGGAGGGGGCGGAGCTATTGGGCGCACATGTTGGATAACTTTATTTATTTTGGATTGTGAAAGCAAATTTCTCCTGTGAGAGTGATTATAGCGCCTCCTGATGGTGAATGCGGTTATACTCACGGCAGGTATTATTTGATAGTTTGCACATTTATTTTACTGATTTGGCAACCGTCAAACGTCATTAGGGAAACGGTTTGAATTTCCGTTTAGTAAAAAAACATTAGTGCTCCATTTGGGACAACACTACATACATGTCTATCCTGTTGAGTGTGTAAGTGCATAAGAACATAGTGTATAGTGTGCCATTTGGGACGCAGCTACTGTCTTTGTTGCTCAGCAGTGCACATGTTACAGCTAATTTCTTTATACAGTATGTTAGTTTGTGTCATTCTAATGTCTGTATATTTAAACATGTAACTTAATAAACAACTTTGCCTGCTTTAAGACGTTGAGATTCTTTCTCTTTATCAACGATGTTAACAACTTTAATGGAGTCAGATTAATTACAATGGAGTCAGATTAATAATGGATTTAAACACGCCATCCTTCAACTGCTTTCTGTTTCCGATTATTGGTTCAGAACAGCAGCGTAAGCTTCCAGCCTTACAACATGAAGTATTAATATGATTAAAGCATCTGTTTTGTGAGAAGTGCTTCTCATATATGTGAACGACGCTTATGGCTTTACTGACATTTCCTCGAGTAAAAATGACGTTGTCTGAAACTTTCTGTCATACACCACGCCCACCAAGAGCAGCCTTTTGGCACTGGAAGCTTGATAAAGGTGACCCGTACCGTACCTCTCAGTGGAAACAGGCCATTGAACCTAAATAACAGGTAATAAAGTTATAAATAACGTTCAGTTTGAGGAACAGAGCGATCGTTTGGGAGCCGCGTGGGATGTATGAACCTCACTAAGCAGGGAAAATGAAACTGAAAACACACATCACCTAAATAATCATATCACATTTTAGAGTTCTGAATATGACAAGCATTTAATGTTTTTCTTTCATAGCAAACACAAAGTGTTGTGCATTAAATAAATGTTTACAGTGTCAGTATAACTACTCTAGCCTATATAATGTTGAATATAATGCAAGAGGGAATCTGATAATGACAAATGTCTGATTTTACCAGTAGAAAAATGGTCTAATAATGTTGTCAATGACAGATTGCAGGCATATGTCTCAAACACAATAATTCAACACCAGAATTATGAATAGTTGTATCTCTTTACTGTGCATTAATGACCAGGACACATTTAAAAGTCTGCTCAAAATCTAGCATTTTAACTAACAGCAGACCTACACATACTAATATTATTGTTGTTTTACCATTTGTCTAAGAAAAACAATACTAATAGCTGACTCATATTAATCTTTATTAAGGGTGTCACGATTCTCCAAATCCTCGATTCGATTACATTTTCGATTCTAAAGGCACGATTTGATTTTTGATTATGAATAATTAATTAATCAATGACCAATTCATTATTTGTAGCCTACCGTTTAAACTACCTGACCTGCATGGTCTTTGTTTTACCCATAAACAAATCATACAGTAAATGAATAAAGGCAAGATACACACATAATTACCACCTGACAATCACTTTTTCTGCGGGACTCGTGAATAGGCAGTGATCTGTGTCGTTATAATGGCATCGGTAAAAAAGACGCACAACCAACAGAAACCAGCCAACAGTATCTGAGGTGTTCGCTAAAATGACTAAGTACAAGTGAGTGAAAGATTAAAGCAGTCTACTGATCCTCTGACTAGACCTGCTGTCTCGAGCGCATGGCTGTGTGTGCGTCTGTGTGTGTGGTCACGTGATGTGCATTTTCAGAGGTAGAGAGGAAGGAGGGCTGCTCAGAAATGCCACACGCCACTGTGGATGTCAAATCGTTGTCGTTCTAAAATGCCATTTAAAAACAAAGACAGTGTAAACAGGGCCTGAGTGTGTACTTTTCGCCAGCGGATTTGCAACGGGGGGCGGGCGGAGGATCGCGATGACGGTGTTGTCTATCGGACGAACCCTAATACGTACATAGCAGAGCTTGCAAAACTGTGTTTTTTTTTTTGTCGACAACACGAACGTTGTCAACATAACTCACTGGAAATCCAAAATACTTACACACCGGCGACTTCATTGAAAGAGGAGAGGGTTTAAGCTCTGTCGACGGGTCTCCTGCGTCTGCAGTTTAACAAGCACTTCAACAAGCCTGTTATTTTCCCGCTTGGCAAACCAAGCTGACGTGACATGGGGGCGTGGCAGCATCGACCATTCTATTTTTTGATTCGATAATCGAAATTGAGCATAAATTTCGATCGATTTCGATTGTGACACCCCTAATCTTTATTTTACATCTACAGAATCAGGAGAAAATCCTGATCTTTATTTTAAGCAAAACAAAAAATATATACATCGCGACTCTCCTTTTAGCCAGATTCGTGCAGCTCTATTGTGTTTACTGTTTTTTATGTAAACTTTAAATGCTTTGGCAACACATTCGTAACATTCGTCATGCCAATAAAGCAATTATAAAACTGAGCTGACAAAACAGCCTTGCACAGGAGAGAATGTCTTTCTGCACTGACGTCATGTGTACTGCTTCTCCCCAGTGTGAATCCTCTCGTGTTTTTTCAGATATGCTAACTGACCGAATCTCTTATCACAGTGTGAACACTTGTGCGGTTTCTCTCCAGTGTGGATCCTCTGGTGCAGTTTGAGTTCTGTAGCAGTAATGAAAGTCTTCTCACACTCAAAACACACATGCTCTCTCACTCCAGTGTGGCTCTTCTGATGTTGCGTTAAATGTGGTTGCTGTGTAAATCTCTTTCCACACTCAGAGCATGAATAAGGCTTCTCCTTTGTATGAACTCTGATATGGAGTTTCAGCTCTGACATCCTCAAGAATGTTTTGCCGCATTGATCACATCTGTGGGTTTTCTCTCCAGTGTGGATCAGCATGTGTTGATTAAGGTAGTGTAAATGTGTGAAACTCTTCCCACAGTGTGTGCACGTGAATGTTTTTTTCCCATTGTGGATCTTCATGTGTTCATTAAAGGCGGATGAGTGTCTGAAACTCTTCCCACACTGAGTGCATGTGAATGGTTTCTCTCCAGTGTGGATCATCATGTGTTGATTGAAACTCTTCTTGTTTGCCAGACTCTTCCCACACTCACAACAGATCAAACGATTCTGGTCTCTTTGCATTAAAGTATCTTCAGTCTGTAAATGAGGTGTTTTCCCAGCTTTTAGGAGTTCATCATCTTCACTCTCCTCACTCTCTTCAATTAGGTCTAAAATTAAAGTAAAAAGGTTCAGTTTTTAGTGCAACCCCAAATCAGAAAACATTGGGACAGTATCGAAACACAAATAATTTATTGTATTTATTGCAGACAATATGAACACAAAATATGTCATGTTTTGTCTGGTCAATTTCATTTGTAAATACACATCCTTTTCTGTCATTCAGACCTGCAACACAGTCCATAAAAAGTTGTGACAGGAGCAGTTTAGGGCTAATAATCAGGTAAATTAGTGAAATAATGATGTGATGTCAACAGGTGATTGTAATTATAATTTGGTGCAAAAGCAGCCTCCGACATAGGTCTAGTCCTTTAGGAGCAAAGATGGGCAGAGGATCAGCTGAGAATTTCAAATGATTGAAGAATTTAAAAACATTAGCCCCTTTCACACAGTGATACCGGTAAATATCTGGAAAATTTCCGGAACGACTTTACCGGTATATTGAAAAAAGCGCTGTTCACACAGGCGAGGACGTTACGGAAATTTTCCGGAAAAGAGCATTCACACATCCATTCCAAAATACCGGTAAATTCTGACATCATTCACCACAAATGAGCTTTAAACAGCTGCATCTGTGTTTGTAAACATTTGACTACATTACAAACTCTGTGGATGATCAATATTGTGAACAACTTTCGCAGGATCACTTTCGCATGTCGAGATGTTCATAATATGTGCGTGTGCAGGCGCTCACAGGCTATTTCACAGGCACACGCAAAGCTTGAAGGTAAACAAACAACGGCTTATCATAAGCATGTCATCGATGATTATTTACACGGTTGGCATCAAGAAGAACATATAAACGTGATCTGACTAACTTCTAGCAGCTAAATGTGTCTGGAAAAATATTCAAAGGCTTTTATCCTCACAAACCGCGCGGACATAAATGCGTCTGACTGTTGTGATTGGCTAAAGCAGACGTCTCACGTCAGCACGTTCTAGACGTGCACACGCTTATTACGGCAATCTTCCTTCTGCATTCACACAGCGCAGCATTCCGGCAAATTGCCGGTAATGTTACAACTTCTCTTTCCGGAAAATAGCCAGAACGAATTTACCGGTATTTTCAAAAAGGACCTGTTCACACATACAACCTTTCCAGAAAATTGCCGGCAATTTTCCGGAAAGGTCTGTATGTGTGAAAGGGGCTATTGTTCCTTAAAGAAATAAAGCAAGACATTTGGAACACATTAGCCCCTTTCACACCGGTAAATATCTAGAAAATTTCCGGAACGACTTTACCAGTAAATTCAAAAAGCGCTGTTCACACAGACGAGGACGTTACGGAATTGTTCCAAAAAAGAGCATTCACACATCCATTACCAAATAGCGGTAAATTCTGACATCATTACCCAGAAATGAGCTCTAAACGGCTGCGCTTGTGTTTGTAAACATTTGACTACATTACAAACTCTGTGGATGATCAATATTGTGAACAACTTCGATGAAAACATATAGAGAAACACTTTCGCATGTCGAGATGTTCATGATATGTGTGTGTGCTGGCGCTCATGGGCTGCTTCATGGGCACACACAAAGGTTGAAGGTAAACAAACAACAGCTTATCATAAGCATCTTATCAATAATTATTTACACAGTTGGCGTTAAGATGAACATATAAACAATATCTGACTAATTTCTAGCAGCTAAATGTGTCTGGAAAAATATTCAAAGGCTTTTATTCTCATAAACCGTGCGGGCGTGAATGCATCAGCCTGTTCTGATTGGCTAAAGTAGACGTCTCACATAAGCACGTTCTAGACGTGAACGCGCTCTTTCCGGCAATCTTCCTTTTGCGTTCACACAGCGCAGCATTCCGCAGCATTAATGTTACAACTTCTCTTTCCGGAAAATAGCCAGAACGAATTTAACGGTATTTTCAAAAAGGACCTGTTCACACATACACACCTTTCCGGAAAATTGCCGGTAATTTTCCAGAAAGATGTGTATGTGTGAAAGGGGCTATTGTCAAGTACCACCATACATGGTTACATCCACAAATCCCAGTGAAAAATGTACCATGCCAAAATGACTCCCTATGTTAACATTGTCCACAAGCGCCATTGACTCCTGTGGGCTCAGAGGCATCAGGGACATTCAGCAATCAGCATTTCAGATATTTTTGGGAGAGATTTGAGCACAATATGCTGCCTTCTTTTCCAGGGACGCCCATGAATATTTTAACAAGACAATGCAAAACCATGTTCTGCACACATTACAGAGTCCTGCTGCAGAGGAAGAGGACACGGGTACTTGGATGTCCTGCCTGCAGTCCCGACCTGTCTCTAATAGAGAATGTGTGGCGCATTTTGAAGAGTAAAATGACAACGAAGACCCTGTACTGTTGCCCACCTTACGACTTGTGTGCAGGAAGAATTGGACAAAATGACACCTGAAACACTTCATCACTTGGTGTCTTCAGTCCCTAAACGTCTTTTAAGTGTTGTGTAAAGGAACGGCAACATTATAAAGTGGTAAACGCTGCACTGATACGACTTTTGTTGAAAGGTGTTGCAGAAAGCAACATTGATATACGCGATTATTTAAAATAAAGCAGTAAAATGATGAGGAACAGATTAAATCATGTTTGCTGTATTGTCTGCAATGAAACACAAGTCAAAGTAAATGTAGAAACGGCTTCTTTCTCTCTTTATCTGTGTTCCCCATACTGTCCCACTTGATCTGATTTGGGGTCGTCAGTCATCAACAATCAGAGCAAAATGTGAAGTGAAAAGACTCCATTTGTAGACATTTCTTTTGTAGGTCTGCAGCATAAATGAAGATCCAGCACTTTTACATGTCCCATTTAAACAAACTTATAGATGTCAAATAAATGAGCTCAGATCAAATTTACTTGGGCCTTATGATCATAAATGTGTAATAAAGATGAAAATAAAAGACAGCTGAGTGTCCATCTCTGTTTCCCCCTGAGAATAGAAAGTGAATTTACACTTCTCCTTTTATTGAAACTCTTGAACTCTTTTGCCTATAGTGCAGACGATACATCAGATGAAGTGTTCAAAGCTTTTTCTGAATCAGGAATAAACACAAACCTGTTTGTTCTTCAGTGTCTTCATCTGTAATTCTGCAGGGTTCTGGATCACTCATCTTCCCACTGTCCTTCAATAAACTCAGATTTGACTTCTGTCTGAAGGTCTGATGCTCGTCCTCACTTGTAGACTGATGGGAATATTCCAGTATTTATAGCTGAAATGAAGGAGGAGGAGCTTCACTAACAGAGAAACAGATCTGCCAAGACTAATGTAGTGTAGCGTGTGCAAAACAAAGCCAGCGGCCTATTGATGTCTAATAAACCAATAGACAACACAAGAGATGAGCACATTCCACATCTACATTATAGAGATGAGCATTCTGTAATATGTCATACATATCTCTGTAATAAAACAGCAAATGGGTATTATGCGAGAGGTATAATAATATAATACACTGGTTTAACTTGTTTTGAGCATTAAATGAAATTGGTATTTTCACTGTAACATAGTCCAGCCTATAGTGGAGTAATCATGTTTAGGCGATCGTTTGGAGTTCTACATTTCAACGGTCAAATATTTATTGCTGAATTACAAGTTCGGTTTTTGATTGGCCTCATGAAAAAGACAATGATTTTCGAATCTCAGGTCTGGCAAGTCCATAGAGGCGACCTGGGTGGCACAAAAGTGTGGGCTACGTCTGCAAAGTTTGGGGTCAGTGTAATTTTTAAATGTTTTAAAATAAGGTTCTCCTGCTCACCAAAGCTGCATTTATTTAATCAAAAATACAGTACACATTTTAAAATTGTGAAATGTTATTGCACTATAAAATAACTATTTAACAGTAGTTTATTATTTAATTTAATAATTTATTCCAGTGCCTTTATGATCCTTCAGAAATCACTCTAATATTAATTTTTGTTATCATTATTATTAATGTTAATACTAATGATAAACGCAACAAGTAATAATAATATTATTTGAAACAGCATAGTGAGTAAAAAAAAATAAATATCTGATAAATAAGTGTTTAACTTTTTTTTAAATATTTAATAAATGCCGCTTTAATGAACAGAATGATTTTAATTACATTTTTAAATAAAATTAATAATAATAAAAATAAATAAACTGAGCCTAAACTTTTGAGTAGTGTAGATCAGTGGGTGATCTTAATAAAAGGTTTTAATGTGCGTGTTTGTTGATAGGCGCTGCTTTCGGTAAATCCTCTTCTTGGTCGGTCGCAAATCTTTGTAAATGCATTAAATGACATATATCAGCCTTACCCTGGAGTTTGTTCAGCCTCCGCCTATGGCTAGCAGTTAGCACCTGTGTGAGCTTGTGTTGGGGTAAAGTTGCTTTTATATTGGCACTTTCAGACGCTCTTCTTAATAAAATCATTTCAGAAAAGTTTTATTTGCACATTCTGATTAGCCAAATCATGCTAGCAGCTAACAACAGTCAAAGTACATCATTGTAAATAGTGCTGATGTTGTTTATGTGTCTTACAGGCGATTTGAGAGCGAATATTGAAAGTAAACAATATGAGGCCGTTAAAATGAGCTGTGTGAATGTAAAAGCAGCTTCAGCTCAATGTGTGCTGTTTCTCTGGCCTCTAACACAGTATACAGAATAATAATGAGTGCATGTAGAGCTCACACAGGAAATAAACAGCATTATTAAACATGTTATAACTCTTGTAACATTAGTCAGCTTCACTCACGCTCAGTCTCCAGTAGTTTGCTCTCAATTCCTCTTCCTCAAGTTGATATTAAACGGGAATCTTCCTCTCCTTAACAGCTTTATCCACACTCTCTGTGTGTGTGTGAGTCCTGTTTCACGCTGCGCTCTCTTCTTCTTTGTCTTCTTCTTCGGATCTTAATAGCGGTTGGTAACCGACCTACTGGTGCATTACCGCCACCGACTGGAGGATAAAACTGGATGTAATGCTGAGTGAATCCAATAGAAGAGGGAAGATAACAGTGTATTCTTCAGATTATATTGTCTATATTCTTTTGTCCAACTGGCTTTCTTTATCAAGTTTAATGGCATCATCATAACTTGCTAGATGTCCTAAAACTGACGATGTGAAATCATGATGTTTGCGCTTTTCATTTACTTAATAATCGTTCATTATTATATTCACAGTGGAATAATGCATGGTCTATTGTTTCTTGTTGACTAGAGTGTAGACATTGCTGAGGATGTGCGAATTCTTAAAGCGACAGCGCTCAAAAAAAAACAAGCAAAACTAAATATGGTGTAGGGGAATTTAATTAAACATAACTGGATTTAGCCCCGATTATTATATCATTTAAAAACATTTTTAATTGACTATATACTACTTCAACACTGTGAATTTATAATATTACAAAAAAGCCACCGCAAAAACTAAACAAAATAATATTAATTTATTGTTCTCACCTGGTTTGACGCATGATAAATACTTCCCCAGGCGCAGGCGCACTGTAGTCAGCTGATGCACATGAATATTAAATGTCTTTTTTATTGCAGTTTTAAAACATAAAACATAGAAGGGAAAAAACAACATTATATTGACATAAAAATAAATACAATATGAAAAGAAGAAAAATATAATTATTCAAAGACAAAATAGGCTTTAAGATAATTAAGTTATTTTTTCTTTTTTTCTTTTATCGTAATGACCTATTTCTATTTTAAAGTGAGTAAAATTAGTTTGTTCACTGCCCATTTACATTTATGATTTAAAAAATGCCATATATGAGCAATAATTCTACCAAATTTTGAAGTCGATTGTATTCTCATAAAACAAAGCATCTTTTTCTTTGAATTCCAATGCAATATTAGAAACAAAAAAGAAAAGATGACATCAAAACAATACACAATAAATACAATCATAAAATAAATGAACAATGTTCTCTTCTTTATCATTGCAGAAAGCACATTTTAAATCAACATCTTAACAAATGAACGATAATATCACCATATCAAAAATATAAAATATTGAAGCACTGTAAGGCAGGGAAGAGAAAAAAGTAGAAGAAAAACGAGACAAAGGTAATTTTGAATGAATAAACGGTGTTTACGTAAATACACTAAAGTAAAATGTGTGATTAAACTTTTACTCCTGCATTCTAAAAAACTTATTCAGTGGTTGAGTTAAACATATTTGGTGCTTTGTTGTTGCTGTTTTTTTAACATTTATTTTGTTATTTATTTAATAACTCAACCAGTTGGGTTAAACTTTTTATTTTAACAGTCAATTTACTGACACAGAACAGCTGCATTAATATGTGTAATGTTGTTTTTGCGTTATAAAGTTTATTTAAGCTATAACATATAGTAATATTGTATTTTAAAAAAAAAATCAAATTACCTCTCCGTGTGTGTTTTTTATTTTCGTTTCACCAGCACTCTTAATTATTAAAAAGCGCGTCATAGCCGATAAAACGTTTATCCTGTGTTTTTTGGGAGAATTACACATATACAGTACATATTTGGGATATTCGGCAGTCATTATCGCCTTTAGCGGAGACATTTGTTTTTTTATTTACACAGCCATATACTTCAATAGTAATACCAGAATAAAAAAAATAACTTAATAAAAAAAAAAACAAATAAAAAAAATGCATTGGGTTAAATTTATGTAACCCAATGCATTAGGTTTAAATAACCCTTAGTTGAGAGGGTGCTATAATAACAACATAGTTGAAAAATAAAGCAGAAGAAAAACAGGACAAAGACAGGGGTAATTTAATAGAATGAATGAATGCTGTTTATATAAACTGAAGTAAAATGTTTAACTTTCATTTCTGCTTTCACCTTGTTTAAAGTCCTGTAATCATGTTTGGAGGTCCAGAGATCCCAGATTCAGTTTTTATATTCGTCTCATTTCGTCTACTGTGCTGTTCATGTGCTGGCATAAGGCTTGTTAATGTTGTTATATGGTTTTTGGGGTGCTATAAGTGGTTGCTAGGGAGTGTGTACAAATTTGCAATATCACTACCTAATACCGACTTGATAGGCCGGGTCAAATGAGCTACCCCCAAGCTTCTACGTTACTGTCATCCAAATATCTGATGTCAGACAATTTGTGCCACTGTTAAGTCTATGAAGACATTTTGAGTCAACAGAAGCGATGCCAGCCATTTTGTGCCAATGTTAAGTCTATGAAGACATTTTGAGTCAACAGAAGCGATGCCAGCCATTTTGTGCCAATGATAAGTCTTTGGAGACATGTTGGTTGCATTATTTTTAATTATTATTTTTTATTAGTAAGAGGGCATACATAAAACATTAATTTGTTCTAATATTGTGAGACCTGAACACAAATGATGCATACTCATTGTACAGCTACACAAATCTTAGAAAAACAAATAAAGTAAGCAAAGTAAATAAATGTACTAATATATATCAAAACAAATAAGACATATATATCTCAAGCTATAATTAAATTATTAAGAGTGTTACACAGACACACCAAAAGAGATCTGATCATCTAAAAGTAACGCGTATGATGGTAATATTGTTTTTTTCAGCAGTTCAGCTGTTTTGGCAGCTTTCTTATTTTACGATGGACAGACAGAGGTTACATTCTGGCCTCTAAATGAAGCAGTTTACACCTCTACATGCTAATCATGTTAGCATCATAGTAACAACATGCTAATCGAGTTTTTACAATCATGTTAACATGATTAGCATTTGTTAGCACGATGCTAATCGTGTTAGTATCATGTTAACAAAAGCTAATCGACCAGCTAGCATGATGGTAACATCATAAGCATGTAGCTAGCATGATTAGCATTATGTTAACAACATGATAATCGAGTTTTTAGCATAATGGTAACATGATTAGCATGTAGCTAACATCTTAACTGTGTTAACATCACGCTAACAAATGCTAATCAACCTGCTAGCAAGATACTAACATTACTAGCACGTAGTTAACACGATTAGCATTATGTTAACATGCTAACGACGTTAACATCATGCGAACAAGTTGGTAACATGATTAGCATGTCAGTAACATGATGGTAATCATATTAGCATCATGCTAACAACATGCTAAACGAATCGTTAGCATAATGCTAACATAATTAACATGTAGTTATCACAATGCTAGCATGATAAGCGTTAAGCTAGCTTGACTAGCAAGTAGCTTGCATAATATGTCAGCCATTTTGTGCCTCTGTTAAGTCTCTGGAGACATTTTGACTCAACAGAATTACACTAGCATGTAGTTAACACGATTAGCATTATGTTAACATGCTAACCATGTTAACATCAAGCGAACAAGTTGGTAACATGATTAGCATGGCAGTAACATAATGGTAATCATATTAGCATCATGCTAACAACATGCTAAACGAATGGTTAGCATAATGCTAACATCATTAACATGTAGTTATCACAATGCTAGCATGATGAGCGTTAAGCTAGCATGACTAGCAAGTAGCTTGCATAATATGGGCAATATAAATGGTTGCTAGGGTATTCTGTTTTGTTGCTATGGGTGTGGTTACAGTGTGTACTTGATTGTGATTGGTTGCCTAAGTCAATTGAGCCCACCCTCATGTCAATATAACACAGCTACGCAAAGATATGCATGCAGGCCAGTTTTAATGGCAGTCTTAGAGATTTTGGGGGCGTGGCTTGTGAGCTTTATTATCATATTTAGACCCTGATTGGTTGCCTGAGTTAAATGAGCCCACCCCCATCTCTGTATGACACTGCTATGTAACGTGACTGATGTGTGACATTTATAATGGGAGTCAATGGGATCAGTGTATTTCAATGGGCCGTCCCACCCCATGTTACGTCAATGAGGCGGTTAAATTGCGGGGCCAAAAAACTTCCAACATTTTATAAAAGTCATAGCACACCATTCCCGATAAAACCACATGATTTGACCCCACTTTCAAGGGTCTGGGATAAAAACTGTGGGACAAGTTACATGCCAAAACTTTGTACTGAAGAAGAAGTAGTATGGAGAATAACAATAGCGGACTTACCCAAGGCAAACCCCACGAGTAATAACAAATGCTGGACCGTGACATTCTTGATCATGTGTTCAGGTCCTGTGTTTTACATAATCAATATAATCGCCCGTCACATTATAAGCACAAATAATATCCCTTGCAGGCAAAAAAAGATAAAAATAAACAAAAAATATCTATAAAACTGCAGCAGACCCGCAGTATATAAAGTTTATCCAGTCACCTTATAAATATAATTCATAGTGAGTTTTTCTGGATGTTTATATGAGATTTAATACTGTGTGCAGAAGTTCAATGGCAGAAACACGATTTCTAATATCTAACTATTTTTGCAAATGAGCTCTTCTTTTTTACACATGGAACATTTCATCCGATCAAAGAGTATAGAATCACCAAGAGGCGACACTGTTCAGGGCTCGAAATTAACTTTTTACTTGGTAGCACTGGTGCTCCCAACTTCAAAAATTTAGGAGCACCAGAAAAAATTTAGGAGCACCCACCAAAAATGATTGAGCACCGCTGCAAATTTTAAGGGACTTATTGTATTTTAAAACAACATCAATTAGGACTAAAAAAAAACAGAAACAACTATAACTAATGCTGAGATGACATTGATATTTGTGTGCAATAATTGCAAAATGTGTATGTCTAATAATTCTAGAATATTAATGATGATGAAAATGACAATAATAGTAACAATGAATTACATTTCTCATCATCATGCTGCCTTGAATGTGCTTAAATGTAAGTTATCTGCTATAAAAAGTCTGTTACTTTATGAAAAATAAATGTATAGTTTGCATCAAACACAAATGAAGCATTGCAGTAAGAAATATTTATTTTGTACTGCTAAACAGCATATATATGCATGTCAGTTTATTAAATAATATTTCTGCTGCAAAACAAACAAAAGATTATAATAAAATATTAAATTCAAGGCTGAAAGCTGCAAAACAGTCATCAGTAACTAAATAAAAAAAATAATATACACCTCAAAAAAGAATAGACAAAAGAAAGTGAGTAAAGTCTCACTTCTATCACTCTTTAAAAGTTTTGGTTTCAGTTTGTCAATTTAAATGTTCCGTCTGAGCTGATTTTCATTTTTGTGTGTTTGTGGAAAAGCAGGCGAGTCAGCCGACCCAATTTATGAGCAGGTTGAGCACCGGCGCAATACCGCTGTTTGTTAAGAGACGCAGTTTCAGTGTAACGTAAACTTAGTAAAGGCGAGCTTCTTTGGCGATGATACAGTATTAGATTTGACTTTTAGTGGACATTTGCACTGAACACGGAAGTGAATGCAACGCATGGAAATTCGGCCACATTCTCCGAAAAGCACGTACTCGATTCATCTCAGCTGGCGGATCAATATTCACCACGTGTCATGATCGCTCTCATCTGCGCCTCAACTTTAGGTGGGGTTTGCACTTTGCAAACCTGTGTGCTTTAAGTTTTCACTCTTTAGCCGTTTGCATTTCCCGTGGTCATAAAAGCTCCCTCACTGTCATCTAACAGTGGAAAGCCTTGAGTGATTGATAGCTAATATGAACCAATATAACGGCAGGGAAGAGCGATTCAGCACGTTTTTAAAAAAAATCAAAACAGGTCGCACTGATGCGCCCAAATATATTATGAGGTCGCATTGATTAATTTTCGGGCTCATATGCGACCAAAATGGTCGCAATTTCGAGCCCTGCTGTTGCTATTTGGGAAACAGCCACTAAATGCCGCTAATGTTACACGGTGGCTATTTAAGCAACATTTTACACAACATCTCAATAAAAAGAAAACAATTTCCAAAAGTTTTTTTTGTTACTGAACTTTGCTTTCCAATCTTAAGCCAATTGTAATGGACTGATTTGGTTCAATTTGGAATTCACCCCAACCAGCGCAGAGCCCAGGGGACCAGAGTGAGTGCTCCGACTTGGGCCCCCCCGGTCCAAAACGTTCTATTGAGTGACAAACCTGAATGTGTGATGATGAGTATCGGCCATCTTTGCTCTTGAGTCGCTCTCTTTATGAGAGCAACAGCCCTGCTCCCTCGCCAGCTTCTCCTCAGAGGAAAAAGCAGCGGAGCATCTCTACTACATCTTCAGTGGCTGAAGTAATGCAAGCCCAGCAACTGCAAGATTCTCGCTGACCCGGTGGACTTATAAAAAGAGGATTTACACTACGCCCCTCCACTTCCCTGAGCGGCTTAGTCTCTTTTGTCGCATCCGAGGATGAAGCAGCTGACGACTCAATGTCTTTAGCTGATTTTCAAACAAGGGGGATTTTCGGACTCCTGATCAGAAGCATCAAGTGCAACTGCCCCGCATCCTCACTAAAGCTGTGGAAGAGCTTGTGCTGGATTGGCTGGCTCTGGAAAAGCCTGCCCCCAGGCCACTGGACAGGGGGTTGCTATCAGGTAATCGTCAGATGCCTGCTCGCCACAGGTCCGCCCCCTTCTTGTCAGCTGTACATGATGAGCTAACAAAGGCATGGTGGCTGCCTTATTCAGCATGACTGGGCGCATCTTTCTCTGCTGCTCTCACATCTGTTGATGGCACGGAGCAAAAAGGATATGCCACCGCTTGACGAATCAGTCACCAAGCACTTATGTGGGTTTAATGGCACACACCACACACCCATCTAGGCCAAGTAGAGTGACTTCAACTCTGGCAAACAAGGCGTATGCAGCCATAGGTCAGGCTGGCTGGGTGCTCCATACAATGGCTTCAATCTTACAAGTGTTCCAAGCAAAACTCCTCCACGGTATGGACGAGATGTGAAGAATGGATCAAGACAGAGCTCAGAGTTCAATGTTCAGAGAGCTCCGCTCCTCAATGAATTTGGTTCTCAGAGCAACGAAAGCAGCAACTCAATCGATCTTCAGAGAGGCACTTGAAGCCTCAACCAGCACGGTCCCAGCCTAGCACCCCTCTTTGGTCATCAGGGCTGTGAGGGGGAACCTACCCTACCCTACCTAGACTCGTCGGTCCCTCAAGGCCCTAACACTTTAGATGGCCCTCCTCTTAGCATTGGTGTCTGTTAAACGCATGGGCGACCTGGAAGCGTTCTTGATTGAAGCTTCATGTCTCGAGTTTGACTCAAGGGTCATTCCTAAGCCCTGACAGGGCATGTCTTCAAAGTGCTCTCAACAATGTTTAGAGTGCAAGAAATTTCTTGAGGAGTCCAGATCTTTCAGGACAATGGATCAGCTCTTTGTCTGCTTTGCTGGACCATCTAAGGGTCACCCAGCGTCAAAGCAGTGTCTCTCTTGCTGGATAGTTGATGCTGTTGCATCTGCCTACACTTTGAGGGCATACAATGCCCTATCGGGGTAAAGGCCCACTTCATTAAGGGTATGGCCTGCTCTTAGGGGAATTCCTATCCAGGACATCTGTGTGGCCAATGGCTGGTTGCCGCAGTCCACTTTCGCTAGATTTTAGTCTGGATGTTCCCGACTTGCAAGCTCAGGTTTTCAGCATAACTTGGCATCTGGTTCCCAGCCACGCTTAAAACCTTACTTTTTTTCTTTTCTGTACATGGTTTTTTCACTAAGTGCTACGTATCTGAGATCTCACAAGACAAGAATGGTGTTGTTGAACTCATTCCCATAGTGTTTATGCTAAATGCATTGAGAGTGAACATTCGATAGGGCAGTGGTTCTCAAAGTGGGGGTCGGGAACCCCTGGGGGGGTCGCGTAACAATGACAAGGGGTCGCTTGGTGATTTCCAAAACTCAAATAAGTTTTATTAAACTATTTGAATGACCATAGGTCCCACTTTATATTAAGTGTCCTTAACTACTATGTACTGACATCACAAAATAAATACAATGTACTTACTGTGTTTATAATGTATTTGAGAACACTTGTGATGCTTTTGAGTTGGGATAGGGGTTGGGTTATGGACAGGTTTGGTGGTATGGGTAGGTTTAAGGGTAGGTTAAGAAGTAAGGGATGGTCAACAGTGTGTTTACAAATGTAATTACAAAAGTTAATTACAGATGTAATTACATACATGTATTTAATCAAGCATAAGTACACAGTAAATACACGTTTTTACACAATAAGTGCATTGTAACAAACTATTAATACCTGTGTAAGTACATATTAGTTAAGGCAACTTAATATAAAGTGGGACCAAACAAAATTATTATTATATTAATATTATCTATTATAAACAAATAAAAATCAGTCATCAGCCTTTTTATATTATAAATTAATAAATTAACATAAAATATATATATGGTAAATAGACTGTTGCACTTATGTGTTGTCAATGTGCTTATGTTTATACATGCCTATAGTTGTGTCTACAAGGTTTATATATTTACAGTATAACCACCTTGAAAAATGGGGGTCGTGAGTCACTGACATTGTTAATTTGGGGGTCGCGGGCTGAAAAGTTTGGGAACCCCTGCGATAGGGAACGCTCACGTAACCTTCGATCTTTAAGATAAGCATGGCAGAGAACACAACGCTCATTCCCTTGTCACATCAGTAAACAGACTGTCTCTTCACTCAAAAAAACTAATGAATCAATCAGCGCACTGGCATTTGTACAGCCAAGCTCCGCCTTTTTACGCAAACTCAAATGCTATTGGTTTGTGCAGATTGCACAACCGTGTCCAATCAGACTTCAGTATTCGAATCAAACAGGAGTTTTCTGATATCTAGATGTGAGAATCTTATCTCAACCAGTTATTAATCTTAGTAAATGCCAACATTGAAAAACTATGTTTTACTGTTGAAAACCTTTCATTTATTGACTGAAATTAATAAATATAGGCTAGTTTGTGTTCTGCTCTACAAAGTAAACATGATGAGAATCTTGAACTTCAGACTAAAGAAACGTTATTGATAAAAGCAGCAAATACTCAAGACAAATGTGTAGACTTTCCACAATCTCTCACGCCAGTTTTAGACGTTCAGACACAAAACAGCCTTACAAACCAGATAATGTTCAATGCATTGATGTTATGTGTGCTGCTTTTCTCCGGTGTGTATTTTCATGTGTTTATGATGTGATGATGAGTGTCTGAAACTCTTCCCACAATGAGTGCATGTTAATGGTTTCTCTCCAGTGTGGATCCTCCTGTGTTCATTAAGGCACGACGAGAGTCTGAAACTCTTCCCAAATTGAGTGCATGTGTACGGTTTCTCTCCAGTGTGAATCCTCTGATGCTCTTTCAAACGTCTGGCTGTAATAAAAGTCTTCTCGCACTCAAAGCACATATACTCTTTTACACCAGTGTGGATCTTCTGATGTGATCTTAAACTTGCCGGCTGTGTAAAACTCTTTCCACACTCAGAGCATGAATAAGGCTTCTCCTTTGAATGAGTTCTGAGATGGAGTTTCAGCGCTGACGCCCTCAAATCTTCCCACATTACATCTGTGGGTTTTCTCTCCATTGTGGATCAGCATGTGTTCTTTAAGGGAGTCTGAAAGTCTGAAATTCTTCCCACACTGAGTGCATGTGAATGGTTTCTCTCCAGTGTGGATCCTCATGTGTTTGTTAAGGTGTGATGAGAGTCTGAAACTCGTCCCACACTGTCTGCATGTGAATGGTTTCCCTGCCGTGTGGATCATCATGTGTTTTCTCAATGATGTTGAGAGTCTATAACTCTTCCCACACTGAGTACATGTGAATGGTTTCTCTCCAGTGTGAATCCTCTTGTGTGATTTCAGACATGCTAACTGGCTGAATCTTTCATCACAGTATGAACACTTGTACGGTTTCTCTCCAGTGTGAATCCTCATGTGTTCCTTAAGGGATGACGAGTGTCTAAAACTCTTCCCACACTGAGTGCATGTGAATGGTTTCTTTTCAGTGTGAATCCTCTCATGTGATTTGAGATATGCTACCTGACTGAATCTCTTATCACAGTGTGAACACTTGTACGGTTTCTCTTTAGTGTGGATCCTCTGGTGCTGTTTCAGATGCTCAGCTGTAATAAAAGTCTTCCCACACTCAAAGCACATATACTCTTTTGCACCAGTGTGGATCTTCTGATGGAGCCTTAAATATGACTTCTCTGTAAAACTCTTTCCACACTCAGAGCATGAATAAGGCTTCTCCTTTGTATGAGTTCTGAGATGGAGTTTCAGCCCTGACGCCCTCAAAAATGTTTTGCTGCATTGATCACATCTGTGGTTTTTCTTTCCAGTGTGGATCTTCAAGTGTTTATAAAGGGATGATGAGTGTCTGAAACTCTTCCCACACTGAGTGCATGTGAATGGTTTCTCTCCAGTGTGGATCATCATGTGTTCATTAAGGCTCTTTTTGCTTGCCAGACTCTTCCCACACTGACTGCAGGTCAATTGATTCTTGTCTCTTTGCATTAAAGCATCTTCAGTCTGTGTTTTCTCAGCTTTTAGGAGTTCATCATCTTCACTCTCCTCACTCTCTTCAATAAGATCTAAAATTAAGTAAAAAAAAGGTTCAGTTTTTAGTGCAACCCCACATCAGAAAACATTGGGACAGTATGGAAGACGGGAATAAAAAACAAAGTAGTGATTTCCACATTTACTTTGACTTGTGTTTCATTGCAGACACAACATAAATATTTCATGTTTTGTCTGGTCAATTTCATTTGTAAATACACATCCTTTCCTGTCATTCAGAGCTGCAACACAGTCCAAAAATAGTTGGGACAGGAGCAGTTTAGGGCTAATAATCAGGTAAATTAGTGAAATAATGATGTGATGTACACAGGTGATTGTAATTATGATTTGGTACAAAAGCAGCATCCAAGACAGGTCTAGTTCTTTAGGAGCAAAGATCGCCAGTTTGCCAATAAATACGTAAGAAAATAATTGAAATGTTTAAAAAGTGTTCCTCAAAGAAATAAAGGAAGACATTTGGATATTTCACCTTCAACAGTGCAGAACATCATTAAAAGATTCAAGGAATCTTGAGTAATTTCAGAGTGTAAAGGACAAGAGCGCAAGCCTAAGCTGAACAACCGTGATCTCCGATCCCTCAGGCGGTGCTGCATCAAGAATCCTCATTCATCTATTAGCAATATCACCACTTTTGTCAAACTTTTGTCAAGTACCACAATACGTAAATACATCCACAAAAGCCAGTGAAAACTGTACTCTGCCAAAAGGAAGCCCTATGTTAACAGTGTCCAGAAGCGCAGTCCACTTCTCTGGGTTTGGAGTAGGGTTGGGTATCGTTTGTTTGTTTTTTTCGATACCAGTGCTAAATCGATACTTTTAAAACAGCACCGGTGCCAAAACGGTGCCTGAACCGATACCTTTTAGCCACAAAATTAATCGACAAAAAAAAAATATATATATATATATACATATCTATAAGTTTATATATATATATATATATATATATATATATATATATATATATATATATATATATATATCACTATCATTATAATTGAGCCATATAACTATATATTTATAATAAGTTTAAACTAAACATCAATTCATATTTTGTTTATTTGAATTGCATTAATATATTTCTTTTGATCATTTGTTTATTAGCATAAATGCAAGATTTGCATTATGCTATAAACATTACATTAGCTTACTACTAACCTGTGGAAAGGCTGTAATCAAAATCAGGGAGCACCTTTTTTTCTGGGTTTGGGGCTTGTGACTACTTTTACATGGACATCATCATTGTGTCACCAGCCTAATGTTTCCTCCATAGTTTGTGTCTGTGGTCTTTTAAGATGTTAAAAAAATCACTGTTAACGTGGTAGACTCTTGATCAGAGTATTGTCTTAATCATATTAAAATCAGAGTAGTGGTGTCCATGTAAACGTACTCAGATAATGTGTCAGATGATGTCACAAGCTGCCAGAGACAGTCCATTCCTCACCTTTGAGTTGATTCCATGAGTCCTCACATTTCTCTCTCACACGCAACTTTTGTAAAGCATCTGCTGCATGTTGGTGTGTCAGAATCCTTGCTTGTAAAATATAGCCATACTGTAGAATGCTTAGTTTAAGCAAATCAGATGAACACGATCATGCGTGTTGATGAAGTGAGTCGCTCACCGCATGCGCTGTTCTGTGCGCTTTGCCTGACATCGCTGACATCCGTATCCCTCAAAGCTGTTTAGAATTAAGCATTTAGAGATAGTGTTACACAACGCTTACTCACGTGTGTCTTTAATGCACCCCTTTATGTTTCTTAAGCGCGTCACACAGCGGATGCACCGCTCAGAGCCGCGGCACGCAGCGCACATGACAGTTGATAGTATCACACAGCAGACATGCACATTCGCATGTTATTTAAAATTAAGCTATTCAGATGGCGCTCTGTGGCATGGCAGAAATATGAACAGTCATGAGTCGTGGATGGCCGCTGGACACTGCTGCTGACTTGCGAATTCTAAGCGCATGGCGCTGCGCGTCCCTGAGCAGCACTTCCGGTGCGTGACTTGCTTTACGTTCTTGTGCAGCACCGAATTAGGCACCGAAATTCATATACTGATTTGATCCGGTGCATACCGGTTCTAAAGGTACCCAAACCCAAGTTTGGAGGCATCTGGGATGGACATTCACACAGTGGAAACATGTACTGTGCTCAGATAAAAAGCACAGAGAGATTTTGGAGCACAATATGCTGCCTTCTTTTCCAGGGACGCCCATGAATATTTCAACACGACAATGCAAAACCATGTTCCTGGCTGCAGAAGATGAGGATAATGGTACTTGACTGGCCTGCCTGCAGTCCCGACCTGTCTCTAATAGAGAATGTGGTGCATTTTGAAGTGCAAAATGTGAAAACGAAAACCCCGTACTGTTGCCCACCTTAAGACTTATGTGCAGGAAGAGCTGGACATAATGACATCTGAAACACTTCATCACTTGGTGTCTTCAAATAAAGCAATAAAATGATGAGGAACAGATTAACTCATGTTTGCTGTATTGTCTGCAATGAAACACAAGTCAAAGTAAATGTAGAAACGGCTTCTTTCTCTCTTTATCTGTGTTCCCCATACTGTCCCACTTGATCTGATTTGGGGTCGTCAGTCATCAACAATCAGAGCAAAATGTGAAGTGAAAAGACTCCATTTGTAGACATTTCTTTTGTAGGTCTGCAGCATAAATGAAGATCCAGCACTTTTACATGTCCCATTTAAACAAACTTATAGATGTCAAATAAATGAGCTCAGATCAAATTTACTTGGGCCTTATGATCATAAATGTTTAATAAAGATGAAAATAAAAGACAGCTGAGTGTCCATCTCTGTTTCCCCCTGAGAATAGAAAGTGAATTTACACTTCTCCTTTTATTGAAACTCTTGAACTCTTTTGCCTATAGTGCAGACGATACATCAGATGAAGTGTTCAAAGCTTTTTCTGAATCAGGAATAAACACAAACCTGTTTGTTCTTCAGTGTCTTCATCTGTAATTCTGCAGGGTTCTGGATCACTCATCTTCCCACTGTCCTTCAATAAACTCAGATTTGACTTCTGTCTGAAGGTCTGATGCTCGTCCTCACTTGTAGACTGATGGGAATATTCCAGTATTTATAGCTGAAATGAAGGAGGAGGAGCTTCACTAACAGAGAAACAGAACTGCCAAGACTAATGTAGTGTAGCGTGTGCAAAACAAAGCCAGCGGCCTATTGATGTCTAATAAACCAATAGACAACACAAGAGATGAGCACATTCCACATCTACATTATAGAGATGAGCATGAGCACTTAAAGCACTTTTGCAGACTAATGAATGTGTCCAGGATCCAAACATCAGTCTACATTTATACAGAAACCACAGCTTTCATGTGCTGCACATAATCACACTCCATGAGTTTAGCTAGCAGTTAGCACCTGTGTGAGCTTGTGTTGGGGTAAAGTTGCTTTTATATTGGCACTTTCAGACGCTCTTCTTAATAATGTCATTTCAGAAAAGTTTTATTTGCACATTCTGATTAGCCAAATCATGCTAGCAGCCAACAACTGTCAAAGTACAGCATTGCTCACGGTCAGAGAAATACAGCTCATGTTGTTTTGAAGTCTTACATGTCATTTTAGACCGAATATTCCAGGGGTGTCCAAACTCGGTCCTGGAGTGTCGGTGTCCTGCATAGTTTTGCTCCAACTTCCTGCAACACACCTGCCTGGAAGTTTCTAGTATACCTACAAAGAGCTTGATTAGCTGGTTCAGGTGTGTTTAATTGGGGTTGGAACTAAAGTATGCAGGATCTCCAGGACCGTGTTTGGACACCCCTGAAATATATAAAGTAAACAATATGGGAGCTGTTAAAGGGTGATGAAACCCACGCTTACAGTTCAAGTCTACCTCAGAAGATGGAGGAGTGGGTGTGGCCGGCAGAGCAGGGGTGGGGAACAACTGTCAGTTCGAGATCAGCTCAAGACTAACAAATAATCCAACACTAAACATGGGGAAACACTTGATTTTATAGTTTAAAAACGTAAAAATGCAAGAGATAATCAAGAGTAATTAATTGAATGCCCTGCTACATATCAGATCAGGTTTATAAACACTATAAATGAGGAGGACTTCTCTCCTCCTGAATGCAGATAGCAATAGCTACAGTTGGTCTCTTTCCTTATCTACTCAAACCATTAGCCCTGGAGGAGTCTAATCTGGAGGATTGATCATGGGTGAGCACAGCAGCACGGATAGGCGTTGTGTCTGAATGGTGAAGACAAAAGTGTGCACACAACACAAACAGCTTGGCTATATCTGCCCTGACTGCATCGCAGGGAAAGCCATGCAACAAAACCCAGTGGATCATGGAAACAAACACCTACAACCCTCCACAACCACCTCAACACTGTGAGTCGTGCTCTGTCTCAAAGCTTAGCAGGTCTGTCATCGAAAAGCACACGCAGTCAGCATGTAGTTGATCCAAAGTGCTTTGCAATTAAATAAAAATGTATTAAAAACGTAAGTAAAGGGAATACATATAGGTAGGTAGGTTACTTTATTTCTACCTGAAGGTAGATTTGGTTTGCAGTCAAGAGTCCTCATCTCACAACAGTGCCACACAAAGGAACTCACACAGCAACAACAGCAAATGAACATTAAGACATAAAACGTAAACAAAGAATGAACAAATACTCATTTTAAGTGTCATAAGTCTTCAAGTTAGATTTAAAAGCAATGATGGAGAAATCCTGATGTTCAGAGCGAGACCTTGGGGCCACAACACAGAAAGCTCGATCACCTTTTGATTTGCAGCGAGGGATCGACAAAAGAAACTGATCATGGGACCTTAATGGCGGCTGCATTCTGGACCAACTGTAACTGAGAGAGTGTTGACTGAGGTAGACCAATGTACAAGGAGTTGCAGTAGACTAACCGAGAGGAGATTAAAGCATGGGTTACAGTTTCTAGATCTTTTTTTTTAGAAAGAAATGGTTTAACTTTTGCCACCAATCTGAGCTGGAAGAAGCTGCTCTTCACAACTGCATTCACAATGCTTGTCAAACTGCAAAAGTGGATCTAAAATTACTCTGAGATTGTTGGCGTGACTGTGCAGATTACAGTTTAGCAATCCTAGCTGAGTTTCAACAGGATAAGAAAACTCAGTCTATGAATAATGATGAGAAACAGACGCATCATCACTGGACAGGCGAGTCACTGAAATCAGCTGACCAAAGCATAAACTAATACATTCATCCAGTGAAACAAGTTGCTAACATTTATTAGAGAAAACTTATTGTGAATTAGAGGAGGAATCAATAAGACACCTGTTTTTGAACGCACATATACCCAAATGTTTTGATTTGATGTCGACAAAGGTGTGAAGTAACGAAGTACAAATACTTGGCTACTGCACTAAGGTAGATTTTTCTAGTATCAGTACTTTACTCCACTACTTTTTACTTATACTCCTTACATTTTTACACAAATATCTGTACTTTCTTCCCCTTACATTAAATTTTGGTTCGTTACTTTCGTTTTAACATGTTTTGTGGCACAATTTATATTATTATACATTATTAACACGTGTTGAACTTTATCCATTTAATAAAATATACACAATACCCTGAAAATTAATATACAAAACAAAACACAATTAATGAAATCGTAAGAGCTGCAAGAGTGTGCTGTTTGCAGAAAATAAAGCAACTTTGGCATAATGCCAACAAACATTTGCAGTCAAATACATTCATTTAGTTTATTTCATCAAGCGTTAAATTTAGGACATTTATTTAGTTATGAATATATAGACTTACAGAATTATGTTTTAAAATATATGTAAACTACTATGGCAAGTTTTGTGTCCAGGTGATGACCCACAGGGCAACTTTTTCAGCAGTGTTGTTGTACAATACTGTAGAGCACAGGTGTCAAACTCAGTTCCTGGAGGGCCGCAGCTCTGCACAGTTTAGTTCCAACCCTAATTAAACACACCTGATCAAACTAATTGAGTCCTTCAGGCTTGTTTGAAACCCACAGGTAAGTGTGTTGGAGCAGGGTTGAAACTAAACTGTGCAGGGCTTCAGCCCTCCAGGAATTGAGTTTGACACCCCTGCTGTAGAGTGATGTTGGTTGGCTAGTTTGCAGCTGAATATACAAATATATATATAGAAATGTAAGTTAATTTGTATAAATGTACACATGAATCATGTGCTGTGTGGTTACCACCGTGAAACTAAAACATGTAGTAGTAATGAATACTTTTTTTTACTTAAGTACATATTTCAGGCTGTACTTATTTTTACTCGAGTACAGAAGTGTAGTCAGTACTTCAACTTTTACCAGAGTCATTATAAATATGAGTATCTGCACTTCTACTTGAGTAAAGGATGTGTGTGCTTTTGCCATCTCTGGATGTCGAATATCTTATATTTTAACTTACAAAATTAAAAATTCAGTTTTCTTGTAAAAATTTTTTTTGATGTACAATAATAATAACAAAACTGGAGCAAAATTTGTCTCTTATTTTAATCATAATATATGGGAAGTACCACATACACAAACAAAAATGGTCCAATGACAAGCCTAATATTTATTTGTTTAAAATTGATCATGAGTATTATATCGAAACCATAAATTACACAAAAATTTAAGAAAACCATTAAGATTTGTGCAGTTTGGGAATCCTTTTCTTGTGCTAAGTTTTTTGTAATTTCTATATCCCCTGTGATTTTATTTATTTATTTTTCTACTGATCTGTTCCTTTGAGGTAAAAATGTAGGTATTGTATTCCTCATTTTCTGTATGCTATTGTTCTTATGCAATAAAAAATAAAAAGAAATAAAATTAGCTGACCAAAGCTCAAAAGTATCCAGTTTCCCCACAATTAAAGCTAACAGGTGCTAACCTTGTCTTAACACACACACACACACACACGTGTTAAAACCTCGTATGAAGTACTCGAGGGCTTCTTAAAATGAGCTGTGTGAATGTAAAAGCAGCTTCAGCTCAATGTGTGCTGTTTCTCTGGCCTCTAACACAGTATACAGAATAATAATGAGTGCATGTAGAGCTCACACAGGAAATAAACAGCATTATTAAACATGTTATAACTCTTGTAACATTAGTCAGCTTCACTCACGCTCAGTCTCCAGTAGTTTGCTCTCAATTCTCCACGGAGATTTCTCACATGCAGGAACAACGATCGTGTGAGCAGCAAATGAAGCAAAATCACACGACTGCAGCCACTACACACTCACAAACTGATGGAAAACGGGAATCTTCCTCTCCTTCACTGCTGTATCCACTACATCTCTCTCTGTGTAACTCCCGCTTCACACTGCGCGCTCTATAACGGACGAGCGAGCGGGCGGTGTCTGCTTAGCGCATGCGCGAACTCTTATAAGGCAGTGAGCAGTCTGAGTATGTTAAGCATGGGGGATGTTAACATACATCACAAACTACTTAAACAGTTAATCAAAAGTAATTTTTTTATGCATCACTGTTGTCTTCATAAACAAGCTAATTAATCTTCATTGTTAGTGTATTCGACAAATCACTCTGTATTGTAGATTTACACATTTCTAACATTCAACTACATCAAGGCACACCTGTAAACTTTAACAGATGCAGTTGAAGTCAATTGATTTGCCTTCCCATTAACTTAATGTTTCCTGAGTGATCTTTAACAAACCAAGGAGATTTTCACAGCATTTCCTATAAAAACAAATTATTCTGCAGTCATAAGTCTTATTTAATTTGACGTTATCATTTTTTCTTCTATATCATTATTATTAAAAACTGCCTTTATTCAGGTCAATATTTATTAGGGAGGCTAATAACACATATGTTTGATTGTCACAGTCAAGTTAATGTTTAACCAATTTAATTATTCTAACTTCCCTAGTTAACATGACCTATAGTGAAGTCTTTAAATTACACTTTAATCTGAATACAATATCATGCTAAATCACTAGTAAAATATGATGCACTGACTGTCACCACGGGAAAGACAAGTAGCTATTAAAAATTAAACTATTACGTTTAAAAAAAAGGTGTTGTAAATAAATCATAGTTAGACGAACACTATTACACAAAAATCAATGAAGATAAAACTAAAGGAGTTGATTACTACTTCTACACAAGCAGGACTGAAAACTGCATTTGATCACTGTGGTACATCAGGACTTTCAAACAGTTTGTAAATTCAGGACTGCATTTAAGTAAATCTGTGTACGCTGAAGTTGATTAATAATAGCCTCTGCATAGGCGAGGATTTCCTCTATTAGGCCCCGTTTACACTAGTGCGTTTTAGTTTTAAAACGGCGTTGTAGAGTGAAAACGATCCGCGTCCACACTCTCGTTTTACCCAGCGTTTCTGAACAGCTCTCCGTCCACACCAAAACGCTGAAAACGCACATCACGTGATCACACACACACACTCTCGGGCAAGCGCTCCAGCATTTCTACCCAGATGAGAGCTCTGCTTGTCGGACTGCTCATCAAGCATCTCTCGCTGGATCTAATCTCACTATATTTATGAAACGTGATATTTCATTCATGTTGTTGTCTTTATCTAACGACATAGGCCAATTCCCTGACTTTGGTCATTGGAATCTATTAAGTTACTTGTTCACGGGTAACATGTTTTGGTTAAGCGCAAAGATAAGTTAATGATTAATCCAGGTACATTGACTGATCGCTTGCCTTTATTTCCTACTATGTATAAACTTATTGTATGTTATACTTTTATAATTATCGATTATTAAAACTGATATTCAGCAAAAGAGACGGTGCATTTCGTATTTTCACTGAAATTGAAAGGAGGCAGTTGTTATCGGCTCCGTTTTGTTATAAATATCCACACAGTGAAGATGACGCTCATATATGCCGCCTAAACATTTCTGCTGTCTGTTAAGTTGCTAATATTAAAATGAAAATAGGCAGTTCCTTAAATCATGTTTACATTTTATTGTTGAGCAAGTGAAACGACGTAGCCAAGGTGATGTGAATGAAGTTATAAAGTACACTGTTCCCTTTGAAGATTTACCCGTGTCCTCGGTATGTTTTCCATATCAAACTGAGAAGGGGGAGACTGCAGCCTTGATCAAACTTGCGAAATCTTAACTTACAAGAGGATGCGAGACTGAACTGTGTGTGGGCTACTTAATATTGAGGAAAAGCCCCAATCAGAGAGGCGAACGTCAGCAGCCCCGCCTCCGTTTTCAGATGTCTCCGTCTTTCCCCATCCACACTGAGACGGAGCAGCAGCGTTTCAGAATGAAAACGGCCTCTCCAGCGTTTCCAAAAAGCTCTGTTTTCGGCGCTCGAGAACTCCGGCGTAGTGTGGACGGTTGGCGTAACCGTAGCAAAACGTATGCGTTTTCAAACTAAAACGCACTAGTGTAAACAGGGCCTTAGACACTCACTTCTGAATTTCCCTTCTCTTGGAGGAATCCCTGCAGCCATTTTAAAGGTCAGTAATGGTGTGGGCTGGCATTTATTCAGAGGGCTGCAGAGCCCTCTATGGCCTCACCAGAGGTAGCCTGACTGTTGGACTAAGATAAGATTCTCTGCCCCCTAGTGAGACCATATGCCAGTGCGGTTGGACCTGGCCTCTTGCTAATGCAAGACCTCATGTGGCTTGAGTGTCAGCAGTTCCTGCAAGATGAAGGCATTAATGCTATGAACTGGCCCACCCATTCCCCACACCTGAATCCAATTGAACCTTCGTCAAGCCCTGCCCTACCTAGTTACTGTTGCTACGCCCGTCAAGCTTGCGTGTCTAGCACGTCTACTACAATGTGTGCCAGTGTCAGACATTGACAGGGATAAGTTATTTTTGACGAACAGGTGAGATCCAAGGAAGCCAAATAGGGAGAGGGGGGGAAAAAAAAAAAAAAAAAAAAAAGAAAAAAAAAAAAAGGAGTATATTCACCACATAATTGGCAACGGATTAGAAAACTCATTCTAAATTGAAGCTGGCTTAGCCTAGCCACCTCATAAGAGAAGAAAAAAAATAAAATTCCACCATCCAGTCTAAAGTTTTAGAATACCAGATTGGCACAATCCATATGCACAATGCTGTGACCTGTATCTCCTGGGCGTAGCTATTGTGCAGCTATGAGGATTCCAGCAAATTTTACAATATTATGCAGTTGTTTAAAAAAAAAAAAAAAAAAAAAAAAAAAAAAAAAAAAAAAGGAGGGGCAGTTTCAAAGATAAGAGTTTTTGGAACCTTGAGCACATGTTGGCATTGCATCCCTCATCTCACCCACAAACCCCTAATTAAAGAGTCCAGAGAGAGAAGAGCAGATTTAAATACAAGGACATTTATTTACTTTTTAAATACATGGAGTAGCCAGAACTGAATCCCAATCATGAACAGACAGAAGTGTATGTGGTCTCAAAACTTTCACCTGAAAGAGAAAGCAGAGTATGAAACACCGTCTGAAATCAAATCAAAATGGTCAATAATAAAGATGCATACTTCTCTGATAATAGTCATAAACATTGATGACTGCTGGCTTGAGATTCTTCACTGCAACAGTCTGTGTCAGCTGTATACTGTAGGTCACTGGGACGCCTTTGGGAACCTGCAGACAGAAGGGTTACTGGCGACAGCACTACCAACTGCAACACTGCTTCGCCCTACTCTTGACTTTGGTTTAATATAAATAAATGCTCGTGCAAACAAGAGGGATATAGTCTAAATTTCAAAAATTAAAGGGTGCGAGTTAAATGTTTTAGCCAGAAAGTCAAAGTACTTTGAAGTCTACCATTTCGCCAACCTTAAGCTTTAAAAATGGCATAATTTATCATTAAGTGTAAGTAACTACCATCTCACCTCTTGTAGATAGACAAGCACACGATCACCTTCAGTATCCACCCTTTGCACCAATGGAGAGAAATTGGGTGGAGATCCAAGCTGTGAGGGGAACAAGGAAAAATACAATAAATATTCAGCAAGTTCCAAAGATCCCAAAAAGTCACCCTCAAAACGAATACAAACCAGTGAGGTGTCTGCAGTGAATCCTGACAACACCTTGATGTCCACCAGAAGCATGTTAGTAGTTGGTTTTGGACCAGTGTATCTGACATGGAAAGACAGGTCATGTTAAGGAACAAGCTATCTTGCTCCAACACTGGAGTGGCATAGATGTGCTTTAGAAATGTTTATGACGGGAGCTAGCACAGTATAAACCGTACATGAAGAACGGCATTGCTGAACAGTGTCCACTTTAAAATACACAAGTCATCCATCTTATGCAAAATCACCATTGCAACTGTATAAATGATACAAAGTTTTGCAAATGCTTTTTGGCCACTGCTCTACTCTAGAAGTGCAGAAAGTAAAGCCTTGGCAAAGAATTGGCTAGCCTTAACGTCATATGTAAAGCTGAAAGACATCCTTACTTGACTGTGAAGGTCAACATCAGATTGACTGGTGACGCCTTGCAGTTTCCAGTCACCTTTGCAACAACACTCAGTGTTTTGGCAACCACAACAGGAGTCGGAATGTTGTAAAAACAGGCAACCTGCGAGTGTAAACAAGAACTCAATGCAAGGAGTGTTCATGGGCACAAAAACAAGTAGGGAAGGTGAATGCACAGACCTGGACTGACACACAAGTGGATCCCGATGCTACAACACTATATGTGCCTGGAAAGTTGTTGAGTGGACTCTCCTGATACAGCAAGCGGTTGTTGGGAGTCACAGCAAAGTTGTACACATCTCCTGCTGGCACTGAGGACTGAACGGTAACTGTGCTGGAACCTCCAGAACTGAACACGAGACTAGCATATAAAGCCATAGCCTGAAGAGCCACCACGGTGTCCTACACAAGCAGAAGACCAAACTCATCTCAGCTACATTAGAGTGTCAATAGGTTCCAAACAACTTGAACTGATTTAATTGTCAGGGAACCATTAGCTTTACAGGGAGTATGGCAACCATTTCTTCTGGCAAAAAGCAATTTAAAATGCTGCATTCAAGGTACACATTTGTACAAGAACAATCATTTGAGTCAAATCAGGTCCAGCTACAAGATGAGCTACACAGTGCATTAGCATAATAAAGACTCTAATGGACTTTAAAAGCACAACAAATGCTTAATGTTTGTTCGCTTAAGTCACCTGAGTGGAGGTGAAACCACCATAGGGATTCTGCTGGGCCACAAGCCAGTTGACAATGCGGTTAGCATAGCCCAGTGTAGCAGTGGTCACAGGCTGTACATTGAGAACTGCTAACAGCACATATGCACTGATCTCCACTGCCAGAGTGTCCCCTGATGTAGTCTGAGACCAGTGGAGAGTAGTACCTAAGAGAACAGGAGAGGGGAGTTTATATTAATAGTTTCTAAAAATGCATATCTTTGCTGTTGGCAAAGCTTAACACAGCAGCCTGATGAACACTTATTGCTCCATCTCAATTTAACAAAGCAAATAGGTGGCTAATGTTCACCTTCAGAAATGGCAGTGTTTCGCAAGGAATTTAAAAGCTGTGCTCGAGTGCTGGTCTCTCCAGCCAGACTGAAGGTGTAGGCGAGCAGAGCAGTGACATAGGTGTTCCCCAGATTCCCAACAAGAGGCCTCAAAAACGACAGAGCCTTAGTAATGACAGGATCCTGGAAGAAAACGAAGAAACTTCAAGCATGGAACTATTGAAAACTAAATTTGACCAAGGTTAAACGCAATGGCTCAAAACCAAACTGACAATACTAGCCAACATAAGTCAATCCATTTCACCTAC